AATACAAGAAAGCAAGAGATCAAAGGATAACAAAAGAGAAAGAAATTTTGTTAAATTATTCTGATAATACAAAGCTGCAATTCAATAATATAATTAGTAAGCACTCCCAAGAAAGCAATAGTTAAGGCAAAACTAGAGCCATTTTTACAGACATAACAGCTCTGCAACTCACAGAAATATTTAAAAAAGGGAATAATAATAGTATAGAAATCGATAAAGAAAACTCAATAGTAAATATCAAAAGACAAAACTTAGTACTAAATAAGGATAATCTAAGCAGAATCAAACTGAGCCAATTATCATAAAAACTATACCAATAGTACTACTTGCTGTAACTAATACATTGTTAGCAGTATTGAAATAGAATCACAAAATAATTCTTGCAAATAAAACTGCACAAAACATGAAGTAATTATACATACTACTAAGGAAAATATAGAAGCAATTAAAAATATATTAATACAAGAAAAGTGTAGTATTTTGAACTATGGTCTGTCTGAAGCAGTAAAAAGAAATCTCAAAGTAGTGCAAAAGTTACAATACTAAAAGACAACAAAAAACACAAAAAATATAAAAATATATACAATTCAGTTTAGACTCAAAAAAGTAAACTTCATTTCTAAAAACAAGCATATATTCTTGTATACTTCTTTACTTTATGAGACGATCTAAAAAGACAAATGCAATATCAATTAAGATATATCTTAGTTTTTTTAGCACAGTAATTATTAAGGCATACCAACAAAACTTCAGAACCAAGGCTGCATATATAAAAATTTTGCCAAACTCTGAGCAAAGAGAAAAATCAATAAAGAAAAGTTGGTCACTTCATTTAGAACAAGGCAAAATGTACAGTATTAAGCCTAGCAAATTTGATATTACAAAACTAAAAGAAAGAAATAAATTTAGAAGTATAGTTTTCAATATCTCAACAATAGCATATGATAGTCTTCTTTTACAACAACTTAAGAAGTAAAAAGTTCAAGTAGTTTATATTTTAAGTAATAGTAACAAAAATTAAAAAAAAAAGCTTATCTATACTTCAAATCAAAAGAAGATCTTGCAATCGCCCAAAACTGTATTCTTTATTACTTCAATACCAAGCTTACATGGCATCTAAGTATAAAAATTCAAAAACAAGCAACTCTCTTGACAGCTCATTCCTATATCAAAGAGAAGTCAAGAGCTTATATAAAGGAAAAAGATTATTAAATGAAATAGAAACATATATTAGAAGAAAATTAGCAGAATATATATATAGTAAACAAAATTCTCAGAATAGAAGTTTCAAAATTAATTCTAGCAAGTATAGTAAAGTCTAGAGTTAATACTTCAATCCGGATATAAATATATCTGGATTGATATTTTGCTAAAAATTTATAGTAAAATATAGTAATATTATCTGGATATAATCCAGATATAAAATAAATCCAGATATAAAAACATAGTAAGGTATTAACTCTAGTGAAGTCAATAAGAGCAATGGCAACTACAGACCTCAAACTAATGCTAAAAGACCCCTAAGAAGTATTAGTAATAAATGTGCAACTAGTTCTAACAGAATAGAACTAAGAGAAAGAAAGAAAAAAAAACTAAAAAACTAAAAAGAGAGACAAAAAAATCTACCAAACCTTGTTGCTTCAAGAAATATTAAAAAGACTAAATATGTTAGAAAGCAGACCAACAAGCTTCTCTAATCTGGATAAACTCTCTTAAATTTTTTCTAAAAGTTGCTATAGGTATTAACAAAAATAAGAGCAAGCTTATTAGCTTGTACAAAAAGAACCAAAAAACAAACAATAGATTTAATTTTAGAATAGCATGTTATAATATTAATAGGATTAAAAGTAAAGAATATTTTAAGTAAACAGAGTTATTAGATTAGGCTAAAAAAGAAGATATTGATATAATAGAAATAGCAGAGTCAAATATAACAAATAAAGAGGATCAACACCTAGTTAAAGAAGTTTCAAGAGACCAGTTTATAAGCTTTTGGTCAGATGCAAATAAGAACAAAAAAAAAGATTCTCGAGTAGAGTTCCTAATAAAAAAAGACTGGGCAGAACATGCAGCAAGAGTTATGTATATAGATAAATATATGTTAAAAACAACACTTTTTTTTAAACAACTAGAGATAATAATTATAATGTTATATATTCTACCAAATAATAAGAAGCAGAAAAAAAAGATACAACAGCAAGTTACACAAAGATTTATGAAAAGAAAAATAGTTTTACAGTTTATAATAATAGGAGATTTTAACTATACAGTAGATTTAGAATTAGACTGATTTAGTGTTGGTTTAACAACAAACAAAAGGAAACTGCTATTACACAAATAGTTAAAAAACCAAGATTTTTATGATACATTTTGAATTTTAAACCCATATACAAAAGCTTTCATATAGTCAAATAGTAACCAAAAAATGAGAATTGATCAAATATGGGTTTTAGAAGACCTATTCATTGCTACACAAAAGGCTGAGATATAGGAAGCAGCCTTTATTACAAACAGTAATCACAATCTAATCTTCACCAAATTTATACTAGTAAATCTAGTACAATTTACCCAAGCAGCCCAAATTAAGAGGAAAAATGTTCTACAAAAAGTGTTTATATATGACAAAGCCTCTGAAAATGATTAGAAAAATTACAAACAAGACTTATAAAATTATTTGAAAAGCAAGAAAGCATCCAAAAAATGTTAAATAGGGAAAATATCACCACTTCAGAGCTCTTGAATCAAATGATAATTGCTGAGATGCAATAGCCAAAAGAATAATTTAGACAGCAAATAAAAATATATCTTTTAAAAAGATTCCTAATATAAATACAAGCAAAAAGAAGAAGTTTAACAAAAAACAATTCTTTTTGTTGCAAGATACTATTAAGCTCAGTAAAATTTTACAAAATTTTAAAGATACAAATTGTTTGACAACTTCCAATCAAAAAGAAGTTAATGACACAATTAAAAGAGTAAACGAAAGACAAGAGACAAGTATTCCTTTAATCAAAGATGTGACAGATACAGAAACAATCAATGATATTAAGGGCTGGTAGAAAATATTAAAATCTTGCTAGCTTGTTGAGAAGAAAAAACCAAAAAAAACAAAATACTTAAATATATTAATATTAGATGTAAAAGAATAATACATAAACAAGAGAAAATAATTTTAAGCTTATTAGAGAAACTATACAAGAAAATTCAAATTGATTACTTGTTTATAAAAGAAAATGATACAACAAGACTCATAATAAACTTTGATGAGGTTTTAAAAAAAACTAACAAGCACTTTCAAAATCAGTTTTAAAAATAGAAATATATATAGAGCTTCTTAAAAGTAGCTGTAGTGAAATCTACAGACCACAAAATAGAATCCAGGAGAACTGGTATAAACCTTTGGAAAAAGAAATCAAAAAAGAAGATTGGAACCAAATATTAAAAGAAGTTAAAAATAGCTCAGCTTCCAGTATATTAGGTATTAGTTATACTCTTATCAAGAAGGCAAATGCAAAGATACATAGTATTTTTAAACACTTTGTGAATCTGTGTCTTCAAAAAGGAGAAATACTACAAAAGTAAAAAATAACTCAATTGTATCCAATTTTCAAAAGCTTAGACTGGAAACTTAATCTAACCAAAGTTAGGCCTATAGCACTATTAGAAACATTTTAAAAGTGTATTACCAAAATCTATACAAAACATCTCACAAAAATAATTAGAGTTATGAAAATTCTTAAAGGTCTAAATTATGCTGCTCTCTCAGGAGACTCAACTGAAGACCCAGTCCAAATAATGAATGCATTAATAGAGAATATAAAGAAAAAAACAAAGAAATGTAGATCCTTTTTCAAGATATGCAAAAAGCATATAACTTAGTATACTAGAAACTTTTAAACTAGCGTTAATAAGAATTAAAATACCAGAAAAAGAGATCAAATTCATTTTAAATCTATTTTATAAGTGATACATAAGTGTAATTACCAATGTTGGTCTATCAGCCCCCTTTGTAGCAGATAATGGAATAGATCAGAGTGAGATGATATCACCAATAATTTGGAAAATTTTTATAATCTACTACTAGTTAAAGTACAAAAAAACACAAGGCTAGATTATGAAGCTGAAGTTCAAGTTCTATAGTGTCTTAGTATAAATGTAGTTGAAGTTTAAAGAGTTTGACAAATAGCAATAGTATATACTAATAACATGACATGGATTGCAAAAAGCAAGCTGGAGATAGAAAAGATCATAAAGATAGCTGAAGAATTTTTTACAATTAACGGTATTCAGAACAATGAAAACAAGTATAAACTAATAATTATAAACAAGAGAAAAAGTGAAGAAGATTAATTTCAAATTAATTAATGCAAATTTAAAGTAACTAAGATTAATAAAGTAGTTAAAATATTAGGAATTTGGCTTAGTAGTAGAATGAAAGAGACCTTAATTAAAAATAAAACAAAAGAAATCATTTAACAAACAACATTTACTTTACAATAGAAAAAGATAACAATTAGCCAGTTGGCATATATTAATAATCTAGTACTAATACCAAAGCTAAGTTATATTTTGCAAGTATCTAAGCTAAGTGAAGCCTCGTTACAAAAAATTCAGTTCCATATATAAAACTTGTTAAAAACAAGCTAAAACTGGCAAGAACAACAAAAAATTTTGTTATAACTCACAAAAACATTGGTAGCTACAATTTTTTAGTTCAAGAGCTATATACAAAACAAATAATCTCACTACAAAATAGGCTTAATAGTGTAAATAATAGAGGTACATTAGCTCAAGTAAAAATCAAACAGGGCCTTCTTGATACTGGGCTGTGCAAAATATCATGAGAAAATAATGAATGTGATAGTTTGTGTAAGATCTGGAAAAATAATTTAGTATGTACGGTTCTAGTCAAAGCTAAAGAGTTGGAGATCAAACTTCGATATGAATGACATTTGTGGTTCATCTCCAAAGAAGATGTTACAATAAGAGAAATACTAAATAAAGTAGAAAAAGCACACTTAGTTAAAGAACTCAAAAAATTAAATTTATTTTATATAGAGCAGCTATTAGATACAAAAAGTAAACTCCTATGAAGCTGGCAACAGATCAAAATTTTTTGAGATAAAACAAGCAAAGGAAAAGTTGCAAATAAACTAGTGAAAGCAATATATATAAACAAAAGTAATTATTGTGTTAGACAAGAGTTTCAGAAGGATGAAAAATCAGCAAAACAAAGTAGTATAGCTCTTAAAAAAGTGTAATTAAGAAAAATAAAAGAAAAAAAAACTGGGTTTTGTGTAAAGAGAAAGAAAATAATCTAGAAATAAGAAAAGTGGAGAAAAAAAAGAAAAGCAATATCTTTACAAGTTACTGGAATATTGCAAACTTATCAAACCAGCTAGATCCAAACTGCAAAAATATACTTAGACCTCAATTAGAAAATAATAATATAGTGCATATGTAGATTTGAAAAATAAAGTTATCACGAGTATCCCAAGTCCTCTAGATAAAAAGAAAGAAAAACTTACCCCTTGACAATAGCAAATTTTCAGCAAATAATAAACATGAAAAGGCGAGTAATAGAGAAAACATAAGCTTAACTATTCCAAGTACAAGTAAAGGAGTTAGATATAGAACTAATTGAGTAACAAAACTTAAACCAGTTAACAGAAAACTTACTTTAAGAACAATTACAAAGAAACAAAGAAAGAGCTAATGACAAAACACTAATATACACTAATAGGTTTTTAAGTTTAAAGAATAGTAAAGCACAAATAGGTGCTAGTTGGGTACAAGTTGATAAAGTTAAAAATATAGTAATAGAAAAAGGCTGTAGTAGAGTTGAAAGTTGGCTATTATTAACTAAAGCAAAATCAGTAGCAATATTTCTAGCAGTTTTGTTGATACCTATTATAGTAGTATAGTTATTAGATCAGATAGTGCAGCAGCAATAGCAAGAATTAAAAAAAGTATCTCACTTTGTAAAACAAAGAAATAGATAAAACAAATAAACTTTAGCTTGTTAGTAAAAATTAAAGATATAATTACAGTTAAAAAGTTAGATATAATACTAGAAAAGGTTAAAGATTATAGTAACAACAAATGGAATAATTTAGCAGGCAAACTAGCTAAAGATAGGACCAAGCATAAAACTCATGTTGGCCTTATTGTAGAAAACAATTCATGGCTAAGGTGTCAACTAAAGTAAAAGCAATATGTGATTAAGTTAAATTCAAAAAAATTTTTGCAAAAGATTTTTCAAGCTAAAACTGGTGCAAGATAGTCAATATCTAAGGCAGTGCAGAAAATAGAAAACAAAATTAATACAAGTGAGAGAAAAGAAAGCATTACTTGGCAAATGTTCTAGCCACACCTTCATGACTTGTCAGATGCAAGATATACATCGCTGAAAAAAAGCAAGCATCTGGCCTTCTGGTTCAAGTGCTTATTAAATGATCTACCAGTTTTTAAGAAAAAGAAAGAAAACCAGACTTATACAAACAAGATGCTTGCGTTATTTGTAATACAGGAGCTGTTGAATTATCTAATCATCTATTTGAATATAATTTATACAAATTTGACTGGTATAATATTGAAATGGTTGCAACAGAAATGGTGTGGCACAAGTTTTCTAATATTATTCACAAAAGACTAAGTCTAAAACAGTTTAGAGAAATACTCTTAAAAGAAACACCAGAGAAAAAAGAAAAAACTTTGTTAAAGAGTTCTGTACAGAAAACACTTATTATAACCTGGGTGAGTTTCTAAGCTCTAGCAAAGAATTAAAGGCATGTATTAAAACTCTGGTCTACATTTGGCAAAATGGGTTTTATGATTTTATTTAAAAAAAAAGATGCTATTATGTTGCAATATGGGAAAAAAAAAATAGTATAATATTGGTCGAAAAGAAGAAAAGAAAACAAAAGATAAAGAACTAAAAAAAAAGAAAAAAGCAAGAAGAAAAGCCCCAAAGTTTGATTACAACTATTAGTAAAAAAATTTTAAATATTAAAGAGGTTGTGAATAAAAGATAGAAGGATATAATTGAAAATTTTATTAGAATAGCACTAAGTTATTCTGGTTTGGCTCTTGACAGAGCTGACAAGGTCTTCTACCTCTTCTAGAAAGTTGTGTGACAGGTCGCACTAGTGGTTGCTTATCAAGTAACTAAGTAATACCAGATTTGCTATATGTGGACATTAAAGTAGATATAGTATATATATTTTTTTTATCTTTTAATAAAGGTACTGATAAGACTGTTAAAGAGTTAAAAAAAAAAAAAATTTTAATAGCAAATTTTTATCTTATACAATTAATAATTAAGTTTTAGCAGCAATTTTCAATTTATTATATACAATTAATAATTAATTTAATATTTAAACATTATTAAGCTTTTCTAAAAATAATTAATTTTCTAAGTTTTTTTTTGAATACTATAAGTTGCTTAAACAGAAGATTTAATTATAGCTTTATTATATACAATTTGTTTATTAGTATTAAAGTTATTAATATTTCAATTATTTGCATTATATTTTTTTAGATAGTTCTTCTAAATTTAGTAGAGATTTTACTAAATATAGATAATGTTAATCATACCTTTTATAGTATGCAAATGGCGATTAGATGTTTCTAGATATTTCTATCACATGTTAATCAGCCAATCAAATTTTGGCCTCAAAAAAATCAAAAAATTAATAATATATAATGCAAATACTTATTAATAAAAAATTATTTAAAATTATCCAAATTTTAAAATGATATAGAAATCTGTACTATAAATAACTTTATTTAATGTTGTCACCCCACCAAGTAGCAGGTCTAAAGTTCAAATCTCACAAACAACGTTTTCAAAAAATAAGCTTGCATTATAGTAACAATTATCTATCAATCAGTTAGGTTCTAGAACCTGTAATCTTGATAATACCATGTTTATATAGAAGCTTCAGCATATAAAAGACCAAGAAATTAGAATGATTAAAACCTATTTGAGAAAACCTGAGTAAGGAGTAGCCACAATCTTTGATAGTATCACAGGAAAGATCCAAATTTGAAAGTTAGA